GTTGTTAGTGGTGCTGTTGTTGTTGTTGTTATTAGTGATCGCGGTAGTGAATGGAGTTTGTGATGTACTGAGATCCAAATCACCATGGGTTGCGGACATTGTGATATCTCGCCCCATTTCCATCTTCGGGGATAGTTGTTCTCGCATTTCGGAATCTTTAGATAAGTGAAGAGATTCCTCCTTTTGGGATATATTTTCACCGATTGAGTTGGGATAACCGTGATCTGTCGTTACTGTATAAATCAAATGAAGCAGGTAACTGGTGATTAGAGAAAAACTAGCACTGATGAAAGTATCATGATGAATTTATTGTAAGTGAGTGTATATGATCTTCACATGCATATACACAATCAGTGCTTGTTCCAGAGATGAAGCGATTCGACACACTTCATTATTTATTATCGACATGGCCCTTTAGCGTCATAAGCGGAACACCTAAGTTAAAAGTTTAATTGTGGAGCAACCTATTGATATTCTTTGTTTTGTGGTTAAATTTTCACTCATTTGTTAGACTCATAAAGATCGATTTGTATACATTAGAAGTGCCGGCTCATATGTAACTGTCCAACCGAAAACTAATTTGACCTCCGTCGAACAGAACTGTGCTTGGTTCGCGTGCAACGTACAGTTGCCACCGTCAAACAAAGGTCATCTTGCAAGCATCTGCCCAGGCCCCGACCTAGGATTCCACTTTCTACTCTTTCTCTCGCTCTCTCTATCTTACTCGTTTTACCGCATCTCATTCGCTCACATCTGTGACCCTTGTGTTAGTGGTTCCCACTTCCCGACCTGTGATCAGGAATTCTTCCAAACAGACGAGCATGCGTGGGCATAAAAACAAACGGAAACTGGTAAATGTATCAAAAGACAATTATACCACACACACACACACATACACAAATCATCAGTCATTTGTGTCAAGAAGGAAGCCATAGGACAGATGAGTTAATAGTCCGTAAATCGTGGTCCTTTGCGTGTTCATAGGTCATGTGGATATATTGAATAGGACAGAGGGAAACCACGAGTGAATATCATAACAACAGAGGAACATCAAGCTTATGAAATTACCAGCCAAAGAGGTTGTATGGTATGCGGGTCCATAGGAATCACACCTGGCAAAAATTTAATCTCATGTGTGTGTGCGTGTGTTCAACCACCCCTGCCCCCTCCCCCGTCCACTTGCATGTCGTATCCATCATATACGGAAAGAAAAATGCACCTGGCTGTTCGACCTTTGATGGTGATGATGATGACTAGTCCACCCCCCCCCCCATGGATGTCTTGATTTCTAAAGTCAGGAGAAATTGTAACGTAACGAAGACTTTCCGTACATCCCCCGCCTACCCATAGTCCCGTATCATTCGGATCCCGGAGTCTTTCGCGAATGACACAAAAGGGTTCAAAGCTACTGTTTGCGTGCGCCAATGCGATCGAATGAGTTAAACCAAGTGCATTCACATTGTGTTGCTTCCAGTGAACGAGACAAGCCCACTGTTCTTTTTGTTGTCGCGTGATGAAGTGCTCACGAGAAACAACAAAATGAACCCTATCGAGCAAATTTGTAACGAACCACGTGTGTGCAAATATCGCGAGCATAAGAAATGGATAAAACAATGAAGAAACTTTCCATACATGATTATATATGTTAGTTGTAATCAGTTGGAACTTTTTCTGACAAAATCATTCACCTTTTTGCGTCAAGGCAGAACCAATTGGAGAAGAGAGTCATAACATTAGTCTAGCTTATTTATTCTGTTTGTATACATTTTAGAATTATTCATTCGT